GCAGGCTCGTGGACCAGGCACGCTCCTAGACGAGGCAAGCTCCTGGACCAGGCACGCTCCTGGACCAGGCAAGCTCTTGGACCAGGCAACCTCCTGGACCAGGCAAGCTCCTAGACCAGGCAAGCTCCTAAATCAGGCAAGTTCCTGGACCAAGCAAGCTCCTGGACCACGCAAGCTCCTGGACCAGGCGAGCTCCTGGACTACGCACGCTCGTAGACAAGGCACGCTCATGGACCAGGCAAGCTCTTGGACCAGGCAGGCTCGTGGACCAGGCACGCTCCTAGACCAGGCAAGCTCGTGGACCAGGCACGTACCTGGACCAAGCAAGCTCCTGGACATGGCAAGCTCCTGGACCACGCAAGCTACTGGACCACGCAAGCTCTTGGACAAGGCACGCTCCCGGACCAGGCAAGCTCTTGGACCAGGCAAGCTTCTGGACCAAGCAAGCTCCTGAACCAGGCAAGCTTCTGGACCAGGCAAGCTCCTGGACCAGGCAAGCTCTTGGACCAGGCAAGCTCTTGGACCAGGCCAGCTCCTAGACTAGGCAAGCTCTTGGACCAGGCACGCTCGTGGACCCGCACGATCCTGGACTAGGCAAGCTCTTGGACCAGGTAGGCTCGTGGACGAGGCATGCTCTTGGACCAGGAAAGCTCCTGGATCAGGCAAGCTCCTGGACCACGCAAGCTTCTGGACCAGGCATGCTCGTGGACCAGGCACGCTCCTGGACCAGGCAAGCTCGTGGACCAGGCACGCTCCCGGACCAGGCAAGCTCCTGGACCACACAAGCTCTTGGACCAGGCACGCTTCTGGACCAGGCACGCTTCTGGACCAGGCAAGCTCTTTGGCCAGGCATGCTTCTGGACCAAGCAAGTTCTTGGACGAGACAAGCTCCTGGACCAGGTAAGCTCGTGGACAAGGCAAGCTCCTGGACAAGGCAAACTCCTGGACAAGGCAAGCTCCTGGACTACGCAAGCTCTTGGACTAGTTACGCTCCAGGACCAAGCAAGCTCTTGGACCAGGCACGCTTCTGGACCAAGCAAGCTCTTGGACCAGGCAAGCTCCTGGACCAGGCACGCTCCTGGACCAGGCAAGCTCCTGGACCAGGCAAGCTCCTAGACCAGGCAAGCTCCTGGATTAGGCAAGTTCCTGGACCAAGCAAGCTCCTGGACCACGCAAGCTCTTGGACCAGGCACGCTCGTAGACAAGGCACGTTCATGGACCAGGCAAGCTCTTGGACCACGCAGGCTCGTGGACAAGGCACGCTCCTAGACCAGGCAAGCTCCTGGACAAGGCATGCTCCTAGACCAAGCAAGCTCCTGGACCAGGCAAGCTCCTGGACCTCGCACGCTCGTGGACCAGGCACGCTCCTGGACCAAGCAAGCTCCTGGACCACGCAAGCTCTTGGACAATGCACGCTCCTGGAACAGGCAAGCTCTTGGACCAGGCAAGCTTCTGGACCAAGCAAGCTCCTGAACAAGGCAAGCTCCTGGACCAGGCAAGCTCCTGGACCAGGCAAGCTCTAGGACCAGGCAAGCTCTTGGACCAGGCCAGTTCCTAGACTAGGCAAGCTCTTGGACCAAGCACGTTCGTGGACCCGCACACTCCTGGACTAGGCAAGCTCCTGGACCAGGCAAGCTCCTGGACCAGGCACGCTCCTGGACCAGGCACGCTCCTGGACCAGGCAAGCTCCTAGACCACGCAAGCTCCTGGACCAGGCACGCTGATGGACCAGGCACGATCTTGGACCAGGCAAGCTCGTGGACCAGGCATGCTCCCGGACCAGGCAAGCTCCAGGACCAGGCAAGCTCCTGGACCACGCAAGCTCTTGGACCAGGCACGCTCCTCGACCGCGCAAGCTCTTGGACCAGGCACGCTTCTAGACCAAGCAAGCTCTTGGACCAGACAAACTCCTGGACCAGGCAAGCTCCTAGACCAGGCAAGCTCGTGGACCAGGCAAGCTCATGGACCAGGCAAGCTGCTGGACCAGGCAAGCTCCTGGACCAGGCACGCTCATGGACCAGGCACGCTCCTGGACCAGGTAAGCTCCTGGACCACGCAAGCTCTTGGACCACGCACACTCCTGGACCAGGCAAGCTCTTGGACCATGCAAGCTTCTGGACCAAGCAAGCTCCTGAACTAGGCAAGCTCCTGGACCAAGCAAGCTCCTGGACCAGGCAAGCTCTTGGACCAGGCAAGCTCTTGGACCAGTCCAGCTCCTGGACTAGGCAAGCTCTTGGACCAGGCAAGCTCTTGGACCAGACCGCATGCTTGAGTCCGGTCGCATGCTTGTGTCCGGACGCATGCTTGTGTCCGGTCGCATGCTAGGGTCCGGACGCATGCTTGTGTCCGGACGCATGCTTGTGTCCGGACGCATGCTTGTGTCCGGACGCATGCTTGTGTCCGGACGCATGCTTGTGTCCGGACGCATGCTTGTGTCCGGACGCATGCTTGTGTCCGATCGCATGCTTGTGTCCGACCGCATGCTTGAGTCCGGTCACATGCTTGTGTCCGAACGCATGCTTGTGTCCGGACGCATGCTTGTGTCCGGTCGCATGCTTGTGTCCGGACGCATGCTTGAGTCCGGTCGCATGCTTGTGTCCGGACGCATGCTTGTGTCCGGTCGCATGCTTGTGTCCGGACGCATGCTTGTGTCCGGACGCATGCTTGTGTCCGGACGCATGCTTGTGTCCGGTCGCATGCTTGTGTCCGGACGCATGCTTGTGTCCGGACGCATGCTTGTGTCCGGACGCATGCTTGAGTCCGGTCGCATGCTTGTGTGCGGACGCATGCTTGTGTCCGGACGCATGCTTGTGTCCGGATGCATGCTTGTGTCCGGTCGCATGCTTGTGTCCGGACGCATGCTTGTGTCCAGACGAATGCTTGTGTCCGGACGCATGCTTGTGTCCGGACGCATGCTTTTGTCCGGACGCATGCTTGTGTCCGGTCGCATGCTTGTGTCCGACCGCATGCTTGAGTCCGGTCGCATGCTTGTGTCCGGACGCATGCTTGTGTCCGGACGCATGCTTGTGTCCGGTCGCATGCTTGTGTCCGGACGCATGCTTGTGTCCGGTCGCATGCTTGTGTCCGGACGCATGCTTGTGTCCGGTCGCATGCTTGTGTCCGGACGCATGCTTGTGTCCGGACGCATGCTTGTGTCCGGACGCATGCTTGTGTCCGGTCGCATGCTTGTGTCCGGACGCATGCTTGTGTCCGGACGCATGCTTGTGTCCGGACGCATGCTTGAGTCCGGTCGCATGCTTGTGTGTGGACGCATGCTTGTGTCCGGACGCATGCTTGTGTCCGGATGCATGCTTGTGTCCGGTCGCATGCTTGTGTCCAGACGCATGCTTGTGTCCAGACGAATGCTTGTGTCCGGACGCATGCTTGTGTCCGACCGCATGCTTGAGTCCGGTCGCATGCTTGTGTCCGGATGCATGCTTGTGTCCGGACGCATGCTTGTGTCCGGTCGCATGCTTGTGTCCGGACGCATGCTTGTGTCCGGACGCATGCTTGTGTCCGGACGCATGCTTGTGTCCGGTCGCATGCTTGTGTCCGGACGCATGCTTGTGTCCGAACGCATGCTTGTGTCCGGACGCATGCTTGTGTCCGGACGCATGCTTGTGTCCGACGCATGCTTGTGTCCGGTCGCATGCTTGTGTCCGGACGCATGCTTGTGTCCCGCCCCATTCTTCCGCTTTCCATCACCCTGCCCCATTCTCCAGCTTACCATCACCCCGCCCCATTCTCCCGCTTTCCATCACCCCGCCCCATTCTCCAGCTTTCCATCATCCCGCCCCATTCTCCCGCTTTCCATCACCCCGCCCCATTCTCCCGCTTTCCATCACCCCGCCCCATTCTCCCGCTTTCCATCACCCCGCCCCATTCTCCCGCTTTCCATCACCCCGCCCCATTCTCCCGCTTTCCATCACCCCGCCCCATTCTCCCGCTTTCCATCACCCCGCCCCATTCACCCCGCCCCATTCTCCCTCTTTCCATCAACCCGCCCCATTCTCCCGCTATTCTTCACCCCGCCCCATTCTCCCTCTTTCCATCACCCCGCCCCATTCTTCCGCTTTTCACCACCCTGCCCCATTCTCCCTCTTTCCATCACCCCGCCCCATTCCCCCTCTTTCCATCAGCCCGCCCCATTCTCCCGCTTTTCTTCACCCATGTTAGAGACTAAGGATCGAGTCTATGAAGATTAGGTGCTCAAATTTATCAAAATCGTTGGTCTCAATTTCTGGACAGAAACGTCGACTTCACAAGAAACGTCGTCGACGGAAGGTGCACTGTTAGAATCCCACGAAATTCGAAAATGTTGTAGCCCTAGACCGTGGCTACATTTACCAATTCGAATCGTATCAAAATATGATGCATATTTCGAGTTATGCGTTTTGGCGCACTAGGGGGTATGCTGCCACAGAAATTTAACTCAATCACAATTAACTCACAAGTTCCACAAAAGTGCACACAAGAGAGTTAGGGTAGCACTAAACCAGGTAGGAGGGAAGAGGAGGACGAGAGGGAAGGTCCCAAGAGATTCCCCAACCAAGGAAACCCCATGCCACACAATTCCCTTCCCCATAGGCAACCCCACTTTCACATTTGTCACTTTCCCAACTCATGCCATCCACCTCAACCCACTTGGCCACACTTGCCAACCTGGTTTGGCTTCACCCAACCACATGGCAGCATTCTACAGTGATGGGTTCGAATTCCCAACCCCCAAAAGTCTGTACCCCATATTGAGTCAACCCCACAACTTCCCATAGTCGCCACAACAGAAGTACAGAAAGCATACGAACCCCAACGTTCGTAACTTTCTTGATATTGCTCCGATCGCGACGATTCTTGGCTCCTCGGAAAGATCTTGAGTAGAGCTGTCACTTCAGATATCAGCCCAAGCCAAACATCATCCACACACACTCGAAAAATCCAAACCGCGCAAAACACAAATTCTTGCACACGTTCACACCACGCTTGCAACACACGAACACTTCATGGAGGCAGACAGACGTGAATGCATATGTTTGCATCACAACAACCCCGCCCCATTCTTCCGCTTTTCATCACCCCGCCCCATTCTCCCGCTTTCCATCACCCCGCCCCATTCTCCCGCTTTCCATCACCCCGCCCCATTCTCCCGCTTTCCATCACCCCGCCCCATTCTCCCGCTTTCCATCACTCCGCCCCATTCTCCCGCTTTCCATCACCCCGCCCAATTCTCCCGCTTTCCATCACCCCGCCCCATTCTCCCGCTTTCCATCACCCCGCCCCATTCTCCCGCTTTCCATCACCTCGCACCATTCTCCCGCTTTCCATCACCCCGCCCCATTCTCCCGCTTTCCATCACCCCGCCCCATTCTCCCGCTTTCCATCACCCCGCCCCTTTCTCCCTCTTTCCACCACCCTGCCCCATTCTCCCGCTTTCCATCACCCCGCCCCATTCTCCCGCTTTCCATCACCCCACCCCATTCTCCCGTTTTCCATCACCCCGCCCCATTCTCCCGCTTTCCATCACCCCGCCCCATTCTCCCTCTTTTCATCACCCCGCCCCATTCTTCCTCTTTCCATCACCCCACCCCATCCTCCCTCTTTCCATCGCCCCGCCCCATTCTTCCACTTTTCATCACCCCGTCCCATTCTCCCTCTTTCCATCACCCCACCCCATTCCCCCTCTTTCCATCAGCCTGCCCCATTCTCCCGCTCTCCATCACCCCGCCCTATTCTCCCTATTTCTAACACCCCGCCCCATTCTCCCGCTTTCCATCACCCCGCTTTCCATCACCCCGCCCCATTCTCCCGCTTTCCATCACCCCGCCCCATTCTCCCTCTTTCCATCACCCCGCCCCATTCTCCCTCTTTCCATCACCTCGCCCTATTCTCCCTCTTCCCATCACCCCGCCCCATTCTCCCACTTTCCATTACCCCACCCCATTCTCCCGATTTCCATCACCCCGCCCCATTCTCCCTCTGTCCATCACCCCTGCCCCATTCTCACGCTTTCCATCATCCCGCCCCATTCTCCCGCTTTCCATCACCCCGCCCCTTTCTTCCTCTTTCCATCACCCCGCCCCATTCTCCCGCTTTCCATCTCCCCAACCCATTCTCCCGCTTTCCATCACCCCGCCCCATTCTCCCACTTTCCATCACCCCGCCCCATTCTCCCGCTTTCCATCACCCCGCCCCATTCTTCCGCTTTCCATCACCCCGCCCCATTCTCTCTCTTTCCATCACCCCGCCCCATTCTACCGCTTTCCATCACCCCGCCCCATTCTTCCGCTTTCCATCACCCCGCCCCTTTCTTCCTCTTTCCATCACCCCGCCCTTATCTCCCGCTTTCCATCACCCCGCCCCATTCTCCCGCTTTCCATCACCCCGCACCACTCTCCCGCTTTCCATCACCCCGCCCCATTCTCCCTCTTTCCATCACCCCGCCCCATTCTCCCTCTTTTCATCACCCGCCCCTTTCTCCCTCTTTCCATCACCCCACCCCATTCTCCCTCTTTCCATCACCCCGCCCCATTCTCCCGCTTTCCATCACCCCACCCCATTCTCCCGCTTTCCATCACCCCGCCCAATTCCCCCTCTTTCCATCAACACGCCCCATTATCCCGCTTTCTATCACCCCGCCCCATTCTCCCTATTTTGATCACCCCGCCCCATTCTCCCGCTTTCCATCACCCCGCCCCATTCTCCCGTTTTCCATCACCCCGCCCCATTCTCCTGCTTTCCATCACCCCGCCCTCTTCTCCCGCTTTCCATCACCCCGCCCCATTCTCCCGCTTTCCATCACCCCGTCCCATTCTCCCTCTTTTCATCACCCCGCCCCATTCTCCCTCTTTCCACCACCCCGCCCCGTTCTCCCGCTTTCCATCACCCTGGCCCATTCTCCCTATTTCCATCACCCCGCTCCATTCTCCCACTTTCCATCACCCCGCCCCATTCTCCCGCTTTCCGTCACCCCGCCCCATTCTCCCGCTTTCCATCACCCCGCCCCATTCTCCCTCTTTCCATCACCCCGCCCCAGTCTCCCTCTTTCCATCACCCCGCCCCATTCTCCCTATTTCCATCACCTTGCCCCATGCTCCCTCTTTCCATCACCCCGCCCCATTCCTTCATATTTCCATCACCCCGCCCCATTCTTCCGCTTTCCATCACCCCGCCCCATTCTCCAGCTTACCATCAGCCCGCCCCATTCTCCCGCTTTCCATCACCCCGCCCCATTCTCCAACTTTCCATCACCCCGCCCCATTCTCCCGCTTTCCATCATCCCGCCCAATTCTCCCGCTTTCCATCACCACGCCCCATTCTCCCGCTTTCCATCACCCCACCCCATTCTCCCGCGTTCCATCACCCCGCCCCATTCTCCCGCTTTCCATCACCCCGCCCCATTCTCCCGCTTTCCATCACCCCGCCCCATTCTTCCGCTTTCCATCACCCCGCCCCATTCACCCCGCCCCATTCTCCCTCTTTCCACCACCCCGCCCCGTTCTCCCGCTTTCCATCACCCTGGCCCATTCTCCCTATTTTGATCACCCCGCCCCATTCTCCCGCTTTCCATCACCCCGCCCCATTCTCCCGTTTTCCATCACCCCGCCCCATTCTCCTGCTTTCCATCACCCCGCCCGATTCTCCTGCTTTCCATCACCCCGCCCCATTCTCCCGCTTTCCATCACCCCGTCCCATTCTCCCTCTTTTCATCACCCCGCCCCATTCTCCCTCTTTCCACCACCCCGCCCCGTTCTCCCGCTTTCCATCACCCTGGCCCATTCTCCCTATTTCCATCACCCCGCTCCATTCTCCCACTTTCCATCATCCCGCCCCATTCTCCCGCTTTCCATCACCCCGCCCCTTTCTTCCTCTTTCCATCACCCCGCCCCATTCTTCCGCTTTCCATCTCCCCAACCCATTCTAACGCTTTTCATCACCCCGCCCCATTCTCCCGCTTTCCATCACCCCGCCCCATTCTACCGCTTTCCATCACCCCGCCCCATTCTTCCGCTTTCCATCACCCCGCCCCATTCTCTCTCTTTCCATCTCCCCGCCCCATTCTCCCTCTCTCCATCACCCCGCCCCATTTTCCCGCTTTCCATCATCCCGCCCCATTCTCCCGCTTTCCATCACCCCGACCCATTCTCCCGCTTTCCATCACCCCGCCCCATTCTCAAGCTTTCCCTCACCTCGCCCCATGCTCCCGCTTTCCATCACCCCGCCCCATTCTCCCGCTTTCCATCACCCCGCCCCATTCTTCCGCTTTCCATTACCCCGCCCCATTCTCCTGCTTTCCATCACCCCGCCCCATTCTCCCGCTTTCCATCACTTCGCCCCATTCTCCTGCTTTCCATCACCCCGCCCCTTTCTTCCTCTTTCCATCACCCCGCCCCAATCTCCCGCTTTCCATCACCCCGCCCCATTCTCCCGCTTTCCATCAACCCGCCCCATTCTCCCGCTTTCCATCACCCCGCCCCATTCTCCCTCTTTCCATCACCCCGCCCCATTCTCCCTCTTTTCATCACCCGCCCCTTTCTCCCTCTTTCCATCACCCCACCCCATTCTCCCTCTTTCCATCACCCCGCCCCATTCTCCCGCTTTCCATCACCCCACCCCATTCTCCCGCTTTCCATCACCCCGCCCAATTCCCCCTCTTTCCATCAACCCGCCCCATTATCCCGCTTTCTATCACCCCGCCCCATTCTCCCTATTTTGATCACCCCGCCCCATTCTCCCGCTTTCCATCACCCCGCCCCATTCTCCCGTTTTCCATCACCCCGCCCCATTCTCCTGCTTTCCATCACCCCGCCCTATTCTCCCGCTTTCCATCACCCCGCCCCATTCTCCCGCTTTCCATCACCCCGTCCCATTCTCCCTCTTTTCATCACCCCGCCCCATTCTCCCTCTTTCCACCACCCCGCCCCGTTCTCCCGCTTTCCATCACCCTGGCCCATTCTCCCTATTTCCATCACCCCGCTCCATTCTCCCACTTTCCATCACCCCGCCCCATTCTCCCGCTTTCCGTCACCCCGCCCCATTCTCCCGCTTTCCATCACCCCGCCCCATTCTCCCTCTTTCCATCACCCCGCCTCAGTCTCCCTCTTTCCATCACCCCGCCCCATTCTCCCTATTTCCATCACCCCGCCCCATTCTTCCGCTTTCCATCACCCCGCCCCATTCTCCAGCTAACCATCAGCCCGCCCCATTCTCCCGCTTTCCATCACCCCGCCCCATTCTCCAACTTTCCATCACCCCGCCCCATTCTCCCGCTTTCCATCATCCCGCCCAATTCTCCCGCTTTCCATCACCACGCCCCATTCTCCCGCTTTCCATCACCCCGCCCCATTCTCCCGCCTTCCATCACCCCGCCCCATTCTCCCGCTTTCCATCACCCCGCCCCATTCTCCCGCTTTCCATCACCCCGCCCCATACTTCCGCTTTCCATCACCCCGCCCCATTCACCCCGCCCCATTCTCCCTCTTTCCATCAACCCGCCCCATTCTCCCGCTTTTCTTCACCCCGCCCCATTCTCCCTCTTTCCATCACCCCACCCCATTCTTCCGCTTTTCATCACCCTGCCCCATTCTCCCTCTTTCCTTCACCCCGCCCAATTCCCCCTCTTTCCATCAGCCCGCCCCATTCTCCCGCTTTTCTTCACCCCGCCCCATTCTTCCGCTTTTCATCAACCCGCCCCATTCTCCCGCTTTCCAGCACCCCGCCCCATTCTCCCGCTTTCCATCACCCCGCCCCATTCTCCCTCTTTCCATCACCCTGCCCCATTCTCCCTCTTTCCATCACCCCACCCTATTCTCCCTCTTTCCATCACCCCGCCCCACTCTCCCGCTTTCCATCACCCCACCCCTTTCTCCCGCGTTCCATCACCCCGCCCCATTCTCCCGCTTTCCATCACCCCGCCCCATTCTCCCGCTTTCCATCACCCCGCCCTATTCTCCCGCTTTCCACCACCTTGCCCCATTCTCCCGCTTTCCATCACCCTGCCCCATTCTCCCGCTTTCCATCACCCCGCCCCATTCTCCCGCTTTCGATCACCCCGCCCCATTCTCCCGCTTTCCATCACCCCGCCCCATTTTCAAGCTTTCCATCACCCCGCCCCATTCTCCTGCTTTCCATCACCCCGCTCCATTCTCCCGCTTTCCATCACCTCGCCCCATTCTCCCGCTTTTCATCACCCCGCCCCATTCTCCTGCTTTCCATCACCCCGGCCCATTCTCCCGTTTTCCATCACCCCGCCCCATTCTCCTGCTTTCCATCACCCCGCCCTATTCTCCCGCTTTCCATCACCCCGCCCCATTATCCCGCTTTCCATCACCCCGCCCCATTCTCCCTCTTTCCACCACCCCGCCCCGTTCTCCCGCTTTCCATCACCCCGGCCCATTCTCCCTATTTCCATCACCCCGCTCCATTCTCCCACTTTCCATCACCCCGCCCCATTCTCCCGCTTTCCATCATCCCGCCCAATTCTCCCGCTTTCCATCACCACGCCCCATTCTCCCGCTTTCCATCACCCCACCCCATTCTCCCGCGTTCCATCACCCCGCCCCATTCTCCCGCTTTCCATCACCCCGCCCCATTCTCCCGCTTTCCATCACCCCGCCCCATTCTTCCGCTTTCCATCACCCCGCCCCATTCACCCCGCCCCATTCTCCCTCTTTCCACCACCTCGCCCCGTTCTCCCGCTTTCCATCACCCTGGCCCATTCTCCCTATTTTGATCACCCCGCCCCATTCTCCCGCTTTCCATCACCCCGCCCCATTCTCCCGTTTTCCATCACCCCGCCCCATTCTCCTGCTTTCCATCACCCCGCCCTATTCTCCTGCTTTCCATCACCCTGCCCCATTCTCCCGCTTTCCATCACCCCGTCCCATTCTCCCTCTTTTCATCACCCCGCCCCATTCTCCCTCTTTCCACCACCCCGCCCCGTTCTCCCGCTTTCCATCACCCTGGCCCATTCTCCCTATTTCCATCACCCCGCTCCATTCTCCCACTTTCCATCATCCCGCCCCATTCTCCCGCTTTCCATCACCCCGCCCCTTTCTTCCTCTTTCCATCACCCCGCCCCATTCTTCCGCTTTCCATCTCCCCAACCCATTCTAACGCTTTTCATCACCCCGCCCCATTCTCCCGCTTTCCATCACCCCGCCCCATTCTACCGCTTTCCATCACCCCGCCCCATTCTTCCGCTTTCCATCAACCCGCCCCATTCTCTCTCTTTCCATCTCCCCGCCCCATTCTCCCTCTCTCCATCACCCCGCCCCATTTTCCCGCTTTCCATCATCCCGCCCCATTCTCCCGCTTTCCATCACCCCGACCCATTCTCCCGCTTTCCATCACCCCGCCCCATTCTCAAGCTTTCCCTCACCTCGCCCCATGCTCCCGCTTTCCATCACCCCGCCCCATTCCTCCGCTTTCCATCACCCCGCCCCATTCTTCCGCTTTCCATTACCCCGCCCCATTCTCCTGCTTTCCATCTCCCCGCCCCATTCTCCCGCTTTCCATCACTTCGCCCCATTCTCCTGCTTTCCATCACCCCGCCCCTTTCTTCCTCTTTCCATCACCCCGCCCCAATCTCCCGCTTTCCATCACCCCGCCCCATTCTCCCGCTTTCCATCACCCCGCCCCATTCTCCCGCTTTCCATCACCCCGCCCCATTCTCCCTCTTTCCATCACCCCGCCCCATTCTCCCTCTTTTCATCACCCGCCCCTTTCTCCCTCTTTCCATCACCCCACCCCATTCTCCCTCTTTCCATCACCCCGCCCCATTCTCCCGCTTTCCATCACCCCACCCCATTCTCCCGCTTTCCATCACCCCGCCCAATTCCCCCTCTTTCCATCAACCCGCCCCATTATCCCGCTTTCTATCACCCCGCCCCATTCTCCCTATTTTGATCACCCCGCCCCATTCTCCCGCTTTCCATCACCCCGCCCCATTCTCCCGTTTTCCATCACCCCGCCCCATTCTCCTGCTTTCCATCACCCCGCCCTATTCTCCCGCTTTCCATCATCCCGCCCCATTCTCCCGCTTTCCATCACCCTGTCCCATTCTCCCTCTTTTCATCACCCCGCCCCATTCTCCCTCTTTCCACCACCCCGCCCCGTTCTCCCGCATTCCATCACCCTGGCCCATTCTCCCTATTTCCATCACCCCGCTCCATTCTCCCACTTTCCATCACCCCGCCCCATTCTCCCGCTTTCCGTCACCCCGCCCCATTCTCCCGCTTTCCATCACCCCGCCCCATTCTCCCTCTTTCCATCACCCCGCCCCAGTCTCCCTCTTTCCATCACCCCGCCCCATTCTCCGTATTTCCATCACCCTGCCCCATGCTCCCTCTTTCCATCACCCCGCCCCATCCTCCCTATTTCCATCACCCCGCCCCATTCTTCCGCTTTCCATCACCCCGCCCCATTCTCCAGCTTACCATCAGCCCGCCCCATTCTCCCGCTTTCCATCACCCCGCCCCATTCTCCAACTTTCCATCACCCCGCCCCATTCTCCCGCTTTCCATCATCCCGCCCAATTCTCCCGCTTTCCATCACCACGCCCCATTCTCCCGCTTTCCATCACCCCGCCCCATTCTCCCGCTTTCCATCACCCCACCCCATTCTCCCTCTTTCCATCACCCCGCCCCATTCTCCCGCTTTCCATCACCCCGCCCCATACTTCCGCTTTCCATCACCCCGCCCCATTCACCCCGCCCCATTCTCCCTCTTTCCATCAACCCGCCCCATTCTCCCGCTTTTCTTCACCCCGCCCCATTCTCCCTCTTTCCATCACCCCACCCCATTCTTCCGCTTTTCATCACCCTGCCCCATTCTCCCTCTTTCCTTCACCCCGCCCAATTCCCCCTCTTTCCATCAGCCTGCCCCATTCTCCAGCTTTTCTTCACCCCGCCCCATTCTTCCGCTTTTCATCAACCCGCCCCATTCTCCCGCTTTCCAGCACCCCGCCCCATTCTCCCGCTTTCCATCACCCCGCCCCATTCTCCCTCTTTCCATCACCCTGCCCCATTCTCCCTCTTTCCATCACCCCACCCTATTCTCCCTCTTTCCATCACCCCGCCCCACTCTCCCGCTTTCCATCACCCCACCCCTTTCTCTCGCGTTCCATCACCCCGCCCCATTCTCCCGCTTTCCATCACCCCGCCCCATTCTCCCGCTTTCCATCACCCCGCCCTATTCTCCCGCTTTCCACCACCTTGCCCCATTCTCCCGCTTTCCATCACCCTGCCCCATTCTCCCGCTTTCCATCACCCCGCCCCATTCTCCCGCTTTCGATCACCCCGCCCCATTCTCCCGCTTTCCATCACCCCGCCCCATTTTCAAGCTTTCCATCACCCCGCCCCATTCTCCTGCTTTCCATCACCCCGCTCCATTCTCCCGCTTTCCATCACCTCGCCCCATTCTCCCGCTTTTCATCACCCCGCCCCATTCTCCTGCTTTCCATCACCCCGGCCCATTCTCCCGTTTTCCATCACCCCGCCCCATTCTCCTGCTTTCCATCACCCCGCCCTATTCTCCCGCTTTCCATCACCCCGCCCCATTCTCCCGCTTTCCATCACCCCGCCCCATTCTCCCTCTTTCCACCACCCCGCCCCGTTCTCCCGCTTTCCATCACCCCGGCCCATTCTCCCTATTTCCATCACCCCGCTCCATTCTCCCACTTTCCATCACCCCGCCCCATTCTCCCGCTTTCCGTCACCCCGCCCCATTCTCCCGCTTTCCATCACCCCGCCCCATTCTCCCTCTTTCCATCACCCCGCCCCAGTCTCCCTCTTTCCATCACCCCGCCCCATTCTCCCTATTTCCATCACCCTGCCCCATGCTCCCTCTTTCCATCACCCCGCCCCATCCTCCCTATTTCCATCACCCCGCCCCATTCTTCCGCTTTCCATCACCCCGCCCCATTCTCCAGCTTACCATCATCCCGCCCCATTCTCCCGCTTTCCATCACCCCGCCCCATTCTGCAGCTTTCCATCACCCCGCCCCATTCTCCCGCTTTCCATCAATCCGCCCAATTCTCCCGCTTTCCATCACCCCGCCCCATTCTCCCGCTTTCCATCACCCCGCCCCATTC